CCCCAAAACCCCAAAACCCCAAGAATCAAGAATCTAAAATGATGAGAGTAGTATATAAAATTAGAGTAATTTTTAAATGGAATATTTATCTAAAATTTATACTATCCCGCAAAGATATCCTAAATCGACTCTATTGCTAGGGCTATTAATTACACCAATGCTTATCAAGAAAAATAAGAAAACTTCGTAGAATTGTAAAATGGTACTCTAATATCATCCTCAATCTGCTATCATGAAAAGAGTAGTAGAAAAAGGCAGTCTAAATGAACTTGTAAAATTATTATAATTCAAGTAATCATCATAAGTTTAGTATTTTAATCCAAGTTTTTTTCTTTTCAACGGGCACTTGCAAACAATTTTCAATCCATTTGCAGCCCTCTATATGAAAAAGCATAATCCAATCAAGTTTGATAGAGAAATATTTGAGTTCAGTGATCATGGCACAATTGCTTTGGATTGGGTTGATTTAAACCCAAACAAAGATGTTTATAATAATAAACCAATCTTGGCAATAATGCCAGGCCTTACCTCTGATAATGATGAGATCTATGTTTTAAATATGCTGATTGAGGCAAAGTTAAGAGGTTATTAAGGAGTTGTGATAAATCATAGAGGGTCATCAGGACTAGATTTAACAGTAAGTATTTTAAACATTTTATCTATTTTCGTGGCTAATTTTAATATTATAGAGCCCAAGAATATACTGTGCATCTAGCTAAGATGACCTTAGAGAGGCAGTGAACTTTATCGTAAATAATTATTGCTCAAGTCTATCAAGAAATAGATAGCGAGATATTTTCTTAGTTGGGAACTCTCTAGGTGCAAATCTACTTGCCAATTACCTTGGTGAGGAAGGCTAATAATGCCCTGTTAAGGCTGCATGTTGTGTCTAACCACCAATGAAAATCTGGGTATTTTCTTAAACTATAAGAAATACTTTATACGGATTTTATGATAAAGTAGTAGCTGCTAATTTAAAGAAAAAGTTCAAGCACTTTGCTCCTGGGTTAAGAGATAGATATAAAAATGAATTAGGGATAGATATTGATTAGGCTATAAAAGATGTGAAATCCTCACTAGATCTTGATTTCACCACTGCAAAGGCATTTGGTTATGAATCTCCTGAGGACTATTAACATAAAGCCTCATGTATTGAAAAAATACCAGCAATTAAAACTCCAACTTTCATAATAATGTCAAAGGATGATCCTTTAGTAGGAGGGGAGGATTGTATTGATTATGAAGTGTGCAAAAAGAATCCTTATGTGCTCTTAGGAGTAACACATGATGGTGGTCATCTTGGTTTCTTTTCTTCTATTCTTAGCACTAAATAGTGGCATGTCAAGCCTGCTTTCGACTTTCTTGATACTTTTAAGTGAATTGACTTTGATAACAAATAAATTTATCTTAAACTGATATTTATGAATATTGATATCAAACATTGATTAACGGGGTTTTGGGGTTTTGGGG